GTGTTGGCCTGCAGTGTCAGGACCACTGGTGCACGTACGTGACATTCCTGGCCAGCCAGCTGAGTTCAGCAGAACTATGGCGACGATGCTACCTCCACTCGATCAACTCATGCCACGACTACAACATCTCAGCCGAGCGCTTTCAGCCTGTCCGCGGCCGACCCTCCATACAACCACTCATCATCGTGAGTACGCTGCACCTCTCTACGCAGTACGAACTGCTACGTTACAAGCCTACGCAGGCACGCACATGCAATGCACTACACTGTTAGCCAACCTCTATAATGCACACCCTCTTATGCAACATGCACGGCCAATGCACACACCACGCAGCACACACACACACACACACACCCACACACACACACACGACACACACACATCACCACACACAATGCAGCGCACATCACACACAACCAACACAACACCCGTGCACCACACACCCAGCGACACACACACCACACACACACACACACACACACACACACACACACAGCACACACAGCAGACAGCACAGCACACACACACAAACACGTGCACACACACACCACACTACACACACACAACACCGACACACAGCACAGCACACACACAGCACAGAGCACCTCCCACAGCCACACGCCACACACACACACGCACACACACACACACACACGCACACACATACACACACGTGCACACACACACACACTCACACACGCATGCACTCAAGCACACGCACGCACGCACACACTCATTCTCGCGCGGCTCTATAACGCGCTCGCGCCCATCCCGTTCGTACATTGCAGCAGCGTTACGATGAGCTGAAGAAGATCGATCGCCGCGACAAGACGAAGGACAAGGACAAGGATGCTGCGCTGGCGCTGAAGGCTCTGCGCTACGTGGGAGCCGTGGACGCCGTCATGGCCCCCGTCATCAGCTCCATCACACCGGTCTTCCCTCAGAAGATCTGGGATGACTTCAGGTGTGTGCTCGTGCCACGGCGGGCGGGCGGGCGGGGGGAGAAACCCACCGCACCGCTCATGTAGTCGGATGATCTGTGATTAGCAGCCACCTTTATTGAACGGCCACCCGTCTATAAACGTAAAGCGTTTTGTTTGAGTAGCAGTTATACAGTGAAACCACCTCTATATATCTATAGAACAGACCTTGTATATAAAGACCATGGGTCTAGATGTAAACATATGTTTAATGCTGCCACATTAAGCTGTTTGTGTTGCAGTGACTGTGCTTAAACCTAATATTCTAATCTTATCTTGCGATAAATGAGAATATTTGCCACAAAGCTCCCCTCATGCTACTCTTGTTTCTACGACTGTCATTCCATTAACGTTGTTCTGTCATTGTTAACACAGCAGCGGTTCTGTTTTTGAATATAGAATCGCCCACGTTGTTCTTCTTCCCATACTGGAACCCGTGATCAGAAACATCGTAAATAATTAATATAATGGCCATCATTCGTAGTTCTAAAATGTCATTAAATGTGACCACCAGGCAGAGCGAATCATTTCACTCATGTTCTAAACTTTTTCACGACACTTCACTGTTCGGTTGTGACATTTCAGATTTCAGATTTTACACTGCCAGTATGTTTATGATAGTGAGTACCCCAGGTTGTTTCCGCTGTTCTGCCGTTCCCATTGTTCTGTTGTTTCCGTGGTTGCTCTCGCATTGCTGCTACGCTTAGCTGTCGCATTGTTGCTTCCCGCGCGCGGCGGCGGAAGCGGCGGCAGTGGGCAGCAGTGAGGTTGCTGCAGGGTTTCTTCTGAGGGGAAATTTTACAAAGGAGGTATAGATCAGTTTGGGAAAAACGCGCATGATGGATTCGAAGGCGTGCTGTAGGCACGCATGCGGATGCGGGGGAGGGGGGGAGGGCATGGGAATCTAAATATGCCAAAAGCATGTGGTGATCTATTTGTTTTTGGGTTTACACTATTTTGACAACGGCGGGTAAATACAGGAATATTTTCACAATGGCGATGTTAAATTTGACAACGGGGGTGCGCCACTGTGCCTTTATATGTATAAGAAACCCTGTGCTGAATGTCGTTGTTGTGTTGCAGTGCGCAGTTCTACGTGACGTTCTGGTCGCTGACGATGTACGACCTGCACGTGCCGACGGCCGCGTACGAGCGAGAGATACAGAAGCTGAAGAGCATGCTGCTCGCCATCGAAGACAACAAGGACCTTGTGAGTGCAGCGCCCGCACGCAGTGGGCCTGGCGGGGTTGTCGGAAGGCTTGCTGTGCGTCGCGGGGGCCTGGCGTGGGTGTCGGGAGGCTTAACTTGCATTGGAGGGGCGGGGGGGGGGGCGGTAGTGTCGGAAGGCTTAACTTGCATCGCGAGGGCGTGACGGGTATGTCGGAAGGCTTAACTTGCATCGCGGGGGCCTGGCGGGTGTGTCGGAAGGCTTGCCCTGTGTCGTGGGGGCCTGCCGGGGGTGTCAGGCGGCCTGAAAGGGATGTCGGAAGGGTTAACATGCTCCTCAGGGGCCCGGTAGGGGTGTCAGGAGGCCTGGAAGGGAGGCCGGAAGCCTTGACACACTGCGCAAGGGCCCGGTGGGGGTGTCAGGAGGCCTGGAAGGGAGGCCGGAAGCCTTGACACACTGCGCAGTGGCCTGGTGTGGGTGTCGGGAGGCTGGGCCGGGGCATCTCACACCGAGACGTCTCACACCCATGCGTGTCTCGATTTAATGCTTCTAAGATGGATTCGTCGTGTCCGGCATTGCAGGCGCAGAGCAAGAAGAAGAAGGAGAAGGAGCGCTGTGTCGCACTGATGGACAAGCTGGGAGATGAGCAGCGCAAGCAGCAGGACCACAGGTCACGGGTCATGCATCGCCTCAGCAACGAGAAGGATAACTGGTTCTACCCACGTGAGTTGTCTGCCTCTCACACATGCTCTCACACTGTCACGCGCACATGCACGCACGCACGCACGCACACACACTTTCTCCATCTCTCTCTCTCTCTCTCTCTCTCTCTCTCTCTCTTTTCTCTCTCTCTCTCATCTCTCTCATCTCTCTCGTTCTCTCTCTCTCTCTCTTCTCTCTCTCTCTCTCTCTCTCTCACTTCTCTCTCTCTCTCTCTCTCTCTCTTCTCTCGCTCTCCGCTGTACGCTCGCACAACAACTTCATAAATCTCTCTCTCTCTTCTCTCTCTCTCTCTCTCTCGGCTCTCTCTCTCTTTCTCTCGTCTTCTCTCTCCTCTTGCTCTCCTCTCCTCTCTCTCTCTCTTTTTCTCTCTCACTCCTTCTCTCTGCCTGCCTGTTTCCTCTCGTCTTTTTTCGACCCTCCCCCTTCTCTAATCACAGTCTGTCCCTCTTCTGCTATCTCCTCATCACCCACAATTTGACACACGCACGGAGGCACGTTGCTGAGGTGCGGCTAGGCGATGCCGCAGCAGCGAGTGCACGCACGCATGCATGCTTGCGCAGCATACGGCGCATGCGAGTCAAGACAAAGGGGTGGCGCAGCGTGGTGGAGTGCGCTGAAAGTCAAAAATTGTGGCCGTTATCAGCTAGAGTCAAAGGACGTATGCAGCATACGGCATCACGTGTCCAACTAGCTTCTGGACTTGAAGGGACCTTTTACGAGTACATATGACTGCGAGATGAAAATGACGTTATAACGCACGCACAGCACGCCATCACAACAACACACACACCACCAACCAGCAAATCCACTGCTTGTCCTCTTCTTGTTTTTAGCTCATCTGACATAGTCAGATGCAGCTTGTAGACATCGCATGATCGTGTCCTGCGTATCCGTCCGTCCGATAGCGTCCGGCCGTCCGTCAAACAGTGTGGGCACAAATCTTACCGCGCCTCGACGTACGGTCTACGATATTCGGCGGTCCAAACACTCGGGGGGGGATCGTCAAATACGAGTTGGGATGTCGAAGCGGGGTCAAAAGGTGCAAAGGTCAAGAGGTGTAAAAGAAGGGGGAACTTCACTCTTAAACCTTAAGGTATAGGGAGGAAATCGCAGAATTGCGGCACAAATCTAATAACGGCATTCGACTCTAGGCTCGTGATAGTCGTGTATAGGCATCATGGTATGAAAAGCCACACTGTGCCGAAATTGAGGTCACTAGGTAAAGAGTGAATGTGGGGCAGATTTTAGAACACATTTTCTGAGGACATGTCCTGACGGAGCGATTGAAAAAGACTTTTTTGTTTCATGCGGTGACTCATAGCATTTTAATGGCTTTATTGAATAGACGATGAATGTCGCGCTCTGCTGACTATGGCGAAGAGTAAGTGCGGATAAACCTTTTGACCCTCAAGAGGAGGGTTAAAACATGGATTTGTTTTTTCACTGTAAACAAAGGACTGACACTGCTTTTGCTAACACGTAACCCCTCCCGACCCAGCCTCACCCTCCCCATCCCCCGGGGTCAGGGAGGGGATGGGGCAGTTGGGTGGGGAGCGGGGGGGGGAGGGGGCGGGAGGGGGAGGGGGCCGGTGGAGGCGGGGGCGGGGGCGGGGGGGGGGGGGGGATGGAGGGAGGGGCGGGGGGGGGATCTTTAGAGAGGAACTAGTACATTTTTTCGTTTAACTAGTCCTGGGGTGACCTAGTGAAGCTAAAATGGTTAGCTGGTCTAATCGCCTGATCCGTCAGTTTTGGGCAACTCGATAGCACCGTATTATTTTAATGATTTTTAATTGTTTTTTAGGCAGAAAATAAAAAGTAGTGCCGTTACCGGTCCATGATGCCAGAGCCCCTGAGATCAGGCATCCTGCATGAATTGGACCTCTCGTTGTGTCCTAGTCGAAAAGTCCAACAAAGGCGAATGCGCTGGAGGATTGTGCGCGAGGAGACCGGGCACCCAGACATGTACGCAAGCGGCCGCGTAATAGCCAAGAGCGGGTCCGCTCGTGCCAAGTCCGTGGCTTCGGTTAGCACGCCGACTGGATTGTGGGACCCTCCCTAGATCGCCCAGCATAAAACCTGGACGCTATACAATGAACTAGACCGCAAGTACACGTATATCAGTATTGAACAATGCCTATTTAATGGTGGTTTTCCTGTTTTAATACAATTTAGAGTTTACATTGGTACTCAATAGGCGGATTCATGGAGCCGAGTGGACAGGTGGAGGGAGGGGGAAGTTGACTATGTATAGCGATGCCAGTAGGTCAATACCGACGACGTTAGCCTTACCTACGTTAAACCGCCTTAATTTTCCAAGAAGCGTGAATTGGAAGGAAGGAGAGCGTACAACGGCGGGATGAATGCTGGGAAGACGCAGATGATGAGCTGGCAGTATTGTAAGTCGAATTAAATAAAACTTTTGCCCATTTTATTTTGACGATTCATTTGTGGAGCGATGAACCCGAGCCGCCTGCGTTACAGCTGGATGGTAGGTGACACCTGTAGAGTAATAACTGTATGCGATGTCAGCGCTACAACCAGGCGGGCGGACCGGAGAGCAACATACAGTCCGTCACAAAAGCGAGAGGACACAGGCGCCAGTAACAGACGGTGGAATCTTGAGGGTCGGTTTTGTTCGGGCGCAAAAGTAGCGCCCAGGATTTTCCAGCAAAACCGCTCATTATTCGTCAGGGGCCGGTAGCAGGCGGCATCGTGAGGGAGCATGCGGTTGTGGTTTTATGATTAACACGGTAGGGAAGCAGGCTGCATCGAAGTAATTATTATAGCGTGCAGTGAGAAAATCGTCAAAAATAAGACCACGGGGAAGATTTATTTAATGTCGAGAAGCCATCAGATACTGCAGAACATGGTTTCAAGCGATTTCACCGGTTGTTAGGCGCATCTCCTGTCTTCAGTACAGCTCTTGATAATATATAATCAGCAGAGTGAAGTGAAGTAATAGAGGTGATGCACCTCGGTGTCGAAAACACAGAGAAATTGCAGCCAGCGAGTTCTCTGTTGCGCCCAAAATTTACTGCCTACAACTTTATTACGGCCGGGCGCCTGGCGGCAAACCCGAAACTAACTCGTGTGGAACCAGTAGGAAGTTGAAGTGCTGTACATTCCAAAGTTTCCGCACAACGACGATGTAGACTCTGTAGTCGTTGATTGCTGGGGGTCCTCCGGAAACGGTCAGACAGGTTCTGTAATCATCAGTGACAGGCTACCGTCGTAAAGTGCCAAGCGATTCACCCTGCTGTAAGTAGCGGTCAACGAGGAGGCAGCTTTGCGGTGCTTGCAACACCATGCTGGCAAGCTCGCAGGGGAGTATTGCGACTATCGGCAAGATGTAGTAGCAGGGCTCTGACCGCTGGAGGGTGCAGAGTAGAACAGATGTCATAAGTAGCCATACTCAGTTGATATGAAATTGTATCCATAATGGGAGAAGCTGTTCGTTTTGGTGACGAGTTTGATGGCAGTGGGTTTTAAGCAGGATGTGGATCTCCGCGCAGAATTGTGGTGAGTGTGCAGAATCCCTGCGAAACCCTGGCCAGAAGACGGTTATCACCTGCGAGCTGTTCCTTCTTTTGGTGTCGCGGTGCCGCAGCGCTAGTTACGTGGGGACATGTATGCCAGCTTTGACCGTGTCGAAGGTGACTGGTGGACTAAGAATCATGTCTGAACGTTCGAAGCCTCATACACTAACACAAATTAGAAGAAGATAGCGCGGATTACAGAAGGGAAGTAAAAGTGTGACGGGCAAATTGATGGTTAGTGTAGGTTTCTGATGTCATTATTGTCTTTTTTGGATTTTGAAGTAAAAATCAGAGGTAAATTTGGGAGATGGGGGAAAAGTATGAATTTCTTGTGTTTGCAAGAGTTGATGTCATACTGCTTAATATTATATTCAGCTCCGGTGATATACTTATATACCAATTGCTGGTCTGCAGACTATACTGGCGTTAGCCACTGGCTTAGACGAAGGTGTAGGAAGACCACGAAAGTAAAAAGCGTGGCGTGTTCAAACAACACCTTTCGTGGCGCTGACTGAAGATACAAAGACTTATGAGCAAATACAGATGTCGCGCGGTCTTCTGCTGTAGAAATAGAATAGCGTTTACAGGAGATAGGGCCCAAGGGCCGTAATCCGGTCTAATTAATAAGTCCAGCCTCCATGTTTAAACTCAGTAGTCCCGTCGCGATGTTGGTAAGTCATTTCTAAAAACATCATGATGCGGAGTGGTCGGTGGATAGTTGGTAGGTGATTTAGTACTAGTCACGTTGGACAGGTAAATCCCATTCGTATACATTACAGATCATCGTGAGCAGATCAGTAATCAGTGTTGACTGATGTTGAATAGGTTAATAGCGATAATAGGGGTCCAGTTGGATTATGCAATAGTTAACGAATGCTCGAGCGTAACTGGCACCGCGGCGGTGGTAAGGTTTGAGAGTGAAGTAACAGGTTACCCGTTATAGGGCCAAGATGCATATGTAGTTTGTTCCAGGAGTATCACTTATTTGCTAATAGCTAGAGAAATGTCTAATTGAAATCCGTAAATGTCTGGTAATCTGGCCCGGCCGAAACTGCTAAGATTGTTTGCCAAGGCATAAATGAGCGCTCGAAAGCACCGTAGTCACATGCTTGGCTACGGGTTTTGAGGGCAGAAGAATTGTTGTGTCCCCGGGATGCTTATGGTGCTAATGAAAGGCGGGTACCCGCGACTGCTGTCTTCAAGTTTCGGACGGACGTGAGGTGTCATTCGTTTGACATAATACCGTAAAATACGCGTGAGTGCCGTCCTGACATTTCCATGTTAGTCCTGCCCCGCCGTGTCTGGGTGCCGTGGTTGAGTCCGAGATCTCGCCCCATAAGTGTTAGGCGCGCCCGCCGGAGCAGGACGAGCCTAAACTTCATTTAGTCAGCAGAGTGTACTGTGATTTTCGTACATAGGATTGCCAGGACGTGGTCATTAGCAGTTATGAAGGCTAACTGTTACGTATCAGGTTACGGGTACTGTACTTGAGTCGCCGGTAGGCATTGCGGTATGGCCGAGCAATGCATTGACGAGAATGTCCGTGCATTCGGCTATAAATCTGTTATCAGCAGCCGCTTCGGCAGGCAGGCGGTTTCGAAACTGTTAAATCAACTCAGTCAACTGATTCTTGGACTAGCGGATTTCCATTAGACATTTCTGTAGTAACCAGCAGTGATATTGGACCAAACCTAATACGCCATTTTTGGCTATAAGAAGGTGAATTACTTGATCAACTACAACAAGGTTGCGCAGTTTACTCTAGGCATTCGTCAACGATTGCATATCAATGGGCCTATTATCCTTTAAGGTAGTCATATTGCAGGGTGGAACGCAGGTGGCCTGTCGAATTTTGGTTTTTTGAATTCATTGTTATTTTCGTTTTTGGATATGGACAATGCTTCTCTGCTTTCCTTTCGGGGGGCAGGGAATTCAGATCTCGGTGACGGGGTTCTGAAAAGCGAAATGATTTCTTTTTTGAGTGTAGGATCGTAACTTCGTTTAATATATAAAAACAGTTTAAGGGCTATTGTATCTTCTAAGAACGGAGTGTGTTGCTATCTAGTTCTTTAGGGCCACGCGTATTGCGTCGTCGGTATTTTCCATTGTAATTTCGCCAAACATCGCTTGCTCAAACCTCGATCATGTCACGC